AGAAAAAGGGAGCACTGTGTAATGCTTTTGTATAGAAGTCCTATATTTTAATAATAAATAAGTAGCAGTGAGATTGTACTGCTGATCTTTTCATCAGGATGCTGACGGTCATGCAGAAATGCGAAGCAGAATTTGATGGGTTGTGAAGGACAGGTTGTAATCATGGAAGGCTGCAGCTATCCATATAGAGTCTGCATCATTATCTTGCCAAGACAAGAGTAGAGATACAAATTTTGTGTGGAATAAGTAACTTTTCTAGAACAATCAGTCTTAGAAACCAAAAGGAAAAATACTGTTCTGGATTTTATATTGAGTGGTATACAGAACTCTGTTCAAGAAAGCATTAGAGAGAAAGCCTCTCTGTAATAGTTACCTCAATACAATGAGAAGGACAGAATTGTGCAGCTTGGAAGGAACATCTGGAAGCAGTCTTGTCCAACCTGCTGCTCAGATCAGTGACAGTTTGGGACGTTTGCTTAGGATCTTGTCAAGTTTTGACAAAGGAGGGAGGAGATGGAGACCAAGGATGGAGATTTCAGAATGTTTCTGGGCAACTGTTCCAGGGTCTGACCAGCCTAATGAGCAATTTCTTTTTATATCTAGTTGAAATTTGGTGTATTCTGGCTTGTGTCCATTGGCTTTCATACCATCCACTGAGCTCCTCTGGGAAAAGTCAAACTCCGTCTTTCTGACACCCTTGCATTAGGTAGACAGCAATAAAATCTTCCCTTTTCCTAGGGCTGAATAAAGCCAGGTCTTTCACCCTGTCGTCATAAATCATGTGCCCAACCCCTAACCATTGTGGTACCCCTTTCCTAGACTTAATCCAATAGGTCAGTGCCTTTCTTGGAGGAGCCCAAAACTAGACACAGCCACACATGCAGTCTCAGAAGTGCTGAATAGAGTCAGTTTTGTAAACCAACTGACTATACTCTTGTCTGTAGAGCTAGTATGTTGTTAGCCTTTGCCACAAAGGCATGTCACTTCCTAATGCTCAACTTGTTGCTCAGAAGGACACCACTTTTTCTGCAAAGTTGCTTTCTAGCCAGTTGGTCTTCTAGAATGTCCTGTTGTGAGGGGTTATTCTGGCAGGACTTTGCCTTTGGTGAACTTCATCAAGTTCCCATCAGCCCACTTTTTCTGCCTATGAGGTCTCTGCACAGCGGTCCAGTCCTCTAGTGAGTGTATCAGTTGCTCCCCTCAGTTTTATATCATCTGTGAACTTGCTGAGAGGCACTCTAACCAATCTTTGAGGTTGTTAATAAAGACATTAAACAGTATGGATCTGGTATGGATGATCTCTGGTATGGATCCCTGAGGGATGCTTTTAATGGCTAGCTGCCAGTTGGACTCCACACCATGGATCATCACCCTTTGAGCCTAACAGTGCAGCCAATTTCCCAGCCACATTATCTACTTTTCAATTCAGATCTCAACTATTTGGCAGTAAGGAGGTGGGAGACCATCTCAAATGCCTTGCCAAATTCAAGGTGTATACCATAGCCTACTCTCTCTTTAGTCTTACAGCCTGTCATCTCCTTACAGAGATGATCAGGTTGGTAAAGCAAAATTGTTCCTTGGTAAATCCATGCTAGCTGTTTCCAATCACCTTCTTGTCCATTAGGTGGCTGGACATGATTTCCAGGATGATTTGCTCTGTAACTTTCATAGGAAAAGAGGTAAGGCCTGTATTTTCCCACATCTCATCCTTTATGAAGATGGGTTCATGTGATGTTTGCCTCTTTTTTTTTTTTTTTTTTTTTTTAAATTAGATTTAAATAGTAGCAGAAGAGAGTGGACCAACTCAATTGGCCTGGGGATATTAACTTTTCAGAAAGGGAACCACATAAAAATGAAGCAACTAGTCAAAAAACCTCCAACCCCCCCCCTCAAAGTCTAGAACAAGCAGTACAGAAAGCCTATGAACAGTTGGAGACTGTTAAGAAAGGTACTGTAGCTGAAACCCAGCTGAAATATGTGCTACAATTTAAAAAATGAAATTAAAAAAACCCAAACCAACCCCCACCCCAAAATAGTCTTAAAAAGCTCTCTTTAAAGACTCAGTGGGGAAGTTTTTGTGGCCCTTGCAGAGAAAAGGTTAGCATTTAAAACTTAAGCTTGCATTGGTGAGAACAGGTAAGCTAATAATGACAGGACAAATGCAAGTGGAAAGTTGAGAAGGCTAAAGAAGCTCTTGAAGAGTGGTTTTCAAAAATGCTTAAGCTGTGATAGTAAAATCTTGCTTAAATAAAGTGAAAAAGAAGCCAGTTAGGAAATTTGTAGGTTTGCTTAATGATAATGGTGTAAAAGGATACGCTGGGTTTACAAGGCCATAAAAGAACAGCTCAATGAATCTTTGCATCAATCTTCCCTGCTGAAGATGCTAAGAAGATGCCAAAACCTCATGTATTCTTTGTTACAGATAGATCAAATATGTTAGATCTGTTTGAAGTAACTGTACAGCAATTATGAGGTCAAGTAGATAAGTTATTTGTTAATATCTTGATGTTAATATCTTCACACCCCAAGGGGTATGAAGAAACTGAAGTATGAAATTACTGAACTGTAACCTCATTGTAAACAGCCACTGTGCCTCCCATCCATAAAATGGGCTCCAGAGGGAGCTGCAGGCCAGTGAGCCTGACTGCTTCCATACTTGGGAAGATGGCAGTCTGTCTTTAGGAAAAAGAGGAAAGGAAAAAAAAAAAAAAGAAAAAACAGAGAGAGAGAGAGATCACTGAGCACAAATCAACACAGTTTTGTTGGGGAAGCATCAGTGTGGCTTCTGTGAAGGGAAATCCTGCTTCATTAACCTGCTGGAATTGCAGAAGGGTGACAATAACCATCTGGCTAAAATCTGATCTATATTTTCCAATTGCATTTGACAAGGGTCCACATGAAAGGTTATAAAGAAATTCCATTCCTGCAGGATTGGAGGAAAGGTCCTTTTAGCAACAGGGAACCAGTTAAAGCAGAGGAAACAAAGGGTAGTGCTTATGTGCCACTTTCAGGATGGAAAAATGGAGTCAGACTGCAGAAACTGTTAGGCCTGTGCTCTTCCCTGGGTAGCATCTGCTTTTGCCTCTGCTGCAGACAGAGCACTGGTGATGGATGGACCCAGCACTGGTCTAACCCATTTGGGCATTTCTAGCATTCATGCAAGCCAGTTATTGACTTGTATGGGTTGGATCTTGTATTACCCATTGTAATTCCTTGTCTAGGCTTGCCTGAAGTATTTCCAGCTTACATATATCATAACTTCAGTTGGAGACTATTTCACAGACAAATGAATTTATTTGGAAGTGCTTCAGATATTCAGACTGTAAACCTAACCCTTTACTTATTTCATATCTTTTATTTACTTCTGCATGTCTTTCATCACCCTAAAAAAATTCTTTATGTAAAAGTTAACTTTTTTAAAAAATCTTGTACAATTATCATTGTATCCTTGTCCCTTAGTGTGTAGGGAGGCAGGATGTATGTATATATGCATGTAAACGTGTGTTCATTTAAATAATGCTTTTAAAGTTGAAAAATAACATGTTCAGAAGATAGAGATTCAAACAGGAAGGATTCTAAAGTCTCATTAATTCACTCCCTTGCATTCATGTAATGTTGAATACACTCTTTAGTTACATAGACAGAGAATGTTTTTTCAAGGAAGCATGTTGCCATTCAGTACAAAAAAGAGAACATGCTATGAGGAGTTAGGACTATGGAGGTAAAGGGCACTGTAGTCTGTGTTGTAGAAATTGATGATGACTGAGGCATGGAGAATGAAAAAAGAGCAAAGAAAGTCAACCTGTGAAGGCAGCTGAATGATCCTGAAAATAGCTGGAGTCTTATGTTACTTTAACTTTTCACGTTTCTCATTTTCTTTGTGCTTCATGTGAGACTGTGGGATGTGAATTGCAATGTTTAGAGTTACAGCTGAGTGAGAGATGCATTAAATATATAATATCCTTTAAAATACTGTGTATACTGAAAGACTTTTTTTTTTCAACCCATTCCTTAAGTTAGCAGATATTTTGGCTGGATTTTCTTTGTGCCTTATCTCAGAGGGATTTTGTAAAGCATAAATTTCTTGTGAAGCAGTTAGGTGCTGCTGTTCAGAGTACAGCAGAAAAGGCTGTGAGGAAATTAGCAATCCAACCTTCAGAACGGAGCTAGAATAATGTGTATTGTATAGGATGAGGTTATATTTTAAGCAAAATCTGCATATTAAATGACTGCCCTCTGTTCTGTGTGCTGTAGAATCCTAGGCTAAAATAGGTGGGGATCTTATTGCTAAAATAGTGCACAACTATATAATTAAAGATTGTGTCAGAAAACACAAGTATAAATGAACCATTTAAATTAATGTCTTTCATTCTAGCATTTCCCAATTTGACTTTGAAACTTTAGCATTGGTATTCTGGCAATTTTATTTGTATGTAATTTTAATAAAATGAAAAAACAGTAATTCAGGTATTTTGTTGTATGAACCTTAACTGGTTGATATTACAGAATAAACTATAGTAGTAATATAGTAGTAGATCAGGGCTGGAAAAGGGGAGGCGAGATTTTGTTAATAAGTTCTAAATAGTTGCTGGAAAAAGAGGAATGGTAAGATATATCTGCACAAGGTTGGCTGGTGGTTTCCTGTGAAACTGCATACTTATTCCCCTCTTAACAGGATTCTACCTCCTACCAGTCTCCTTTTCATCTTGAGCATTTCCTTACCTAAAAAGGACCGGCTGAAACTTCTTAGTGTATGTTACAACCAACATTATATCTGAATTTTGTATATTCAGATTTATAAATTTTAATCAGCTGTTATACAAACGATTCTTTATGTTTGAAGTATGCTAATTGTTGTCAAATTAGAACTAATTCCTGGGTGTTCACAACTTTTTCCCCAGTAATATATTGATATGGTTTTGGTTTAATTTTTTTAATGGTTTTAGTGGTGTCTATGTGATTGTTCTGTGGTTCTTACTTTTTTATTTCCCCTTTTGTAGACTGAATCTTGAAGAAGAACTGGATCAGATGAAAGTACACCAATCTGTGGGTAAGTTCACAATACAGGAGTTTAACTAGGTTTACAACAAAAAAGGAAAGTTATAGTACTTTTTATGTGTATATGTATTCTGTTAGAAATATTAAATTTAAGGTTATTTTCTCTCCAAAGGTTAATTTCTTTTTCTTGAATGTGTATTTTGTAAGCATAAGACTGTACATATTCTTATTTCAAGGTATGTTTACCCTTAAGTTCTCCACGTGCCTATTAAATCAATGACAATTTTTATATACAGATATGTTTGCAACTTATGTGTATATACTACATACAAGATTAATTATGTTTAAAATATCTATGTATATGTTTATAAATATATATGTGTAAAATTTAAAACGTTTATATGTTTGTGAAGCTTTGTCCAGAATGTGAAATGGTTTTTGCAGTATTGAAATGCAGTGATACAGAAATTCCATGCTCATTCAGACTTCTTTTTTAATACTAGTCTCACAAAGTATGTGAATTTGAAAGTAAATAAAAATGGTGGAACTCTTATAAGAATTGATCATTAATATCTTCTTTTATACCTTTACAATCTTTACAATAGTTGATGGTTCTGTGAAGATGGGTCTTTGTCAATCAGATGGGTAATATATTACCATTGCCTCTCCATCACTCTTCTGATTCTTTGTATTATTTTCTGTTCTTGAATGGTCTGGGAGAAGTATTCAAGAATGCATAGTTACAGTCCAGCTGGGTGTCACGTCTGTGGTGAATTCTTTATGCACAGTATTGTGCAAAGGAAAGGAGTAGGAGACTTGGAGAAGTACTCTGCATGTTCTTAGCAATAAAGCCTTACCATTCTTTATCCCAATTTTCTGCTGTTGGTTGTTTTCTTTTTTTGTGATAATGCTGGCCACTTGAATGAAAAAATAAAGATTTTTTTTTTCCTTTATTTTAAATTTGTTTTATAGTATCTATAAAATTAAAACTAAGTGGAAATATCCAGATGCTGAAGACTGAAAGTTACTGTTTTCTTTTGTGTTACTTCTTATGTGTTACTTTCATAGCTCCAGATAGAGCTGAAGGGAACTAGTGAAGGTTTCAAATACTGACTTTAAAAATCACTTCCTTGTTTTTGCCAATTTAGTCAGTCTTTGCACAGAGAGAAATGGAAAGGCAATCAGCGGTGAGAAGGAGTTGAGGGCCTGCTGAGCAATAACCATGCGTTTCCAAAAAACAGTCAGATCCCTGAAACTGCCAGTTCTTGACATGTTTAGTGCTTTAACAATTAGTCTTTTATTCATTCTTTTTTTGTTATCTTTTCAGGTTAAAACACATCTTCTTTTAAAAGTGTGTGGGTGGATACACAATTCTAGTTTGGTTATTGGGATGATGATTAATTGTTGTTATATTGGGACTGATAAAAAGGGTTAAATTACTAGTGAAGTGTTTTAGGCAAATTTTATTTACCTTTTCCAGTATTTGTTGTTATAGGTATCGTTTAGATGAACGGGAAATTTTTTATAAGATACAAAATCAAGTCCAAAGATATGTATTAAGCCGCACTTTTTGTTAGCACATGACTGAGCTGATTCCAGCCATTTTCAAACTTTTACCAATTGAAATATAAAAAAAATAGTTGCTCATCCAGTCTATAAAAAGTAATTTCCTTGTTGTTCCCCTTGTAAATCCTACGGTGTTGCAGTGTGGTGGACACTTTTATCAATTGGTTGACATTTTCTAGAAGACTACACCATAGCGACTGGAGCTGGATGTCCATCTTTGAGCATAAATGAGTGTATGTGAGCAATCCTTGCTCATGCATTAAGAAAGTGTGTACATCCTCTGCCCTAAAATGGGTATTAAATGCCTTTGTCTTCCCAAATAGAAGTACAACCTCAGGTCTGTTATCTGTAATTTGCTGAGTCCAAACTTGATATAGTCTAAATATACTTTGTTCACAGTCTTAGTAAGTATGTTTTCTTTTCTAAAAGGAAACCTGACATGAAGTTACTCAGCTTATCAATAATGTTGGAATTTACTTTCACCTTAGCAGGTACCTGTTTCCATCAAGCATTCTAACATCAAGGGATAAATTCTGAAAAAAGTGGCTGAGCCTAGCTGTATTGAAAAAGATAGGCTCTATCCTCTTGCTTGATTAGATATCAGTTGTGTTTGTCAGGAGTAAATACTGGATAACTTTGTTGCTCTTCCATATCATTTTTCAAACCCTGCTGGTCAAAGATGAAGGAGGTCAGGGGAAAAGGAAACTCTGCTCCTGCCGTTCGCGATTTCTTTCCATTCTGATTCAGTTGTCCAAGGTGTCCCTTTCGCCATTGCCAATTATTTTCCAGTACTCATCAAATCCAAATTCACTATTCATGCTATTCATATCATTATGTGTGTACGAATGTAAAGAATATGTTGGCAGGCACTCATGCCATTTCCTCCAAAAGCAGGAAAGTGGGTCCATCTAATTCTATCCAGAAAAATAGCAAGTGCCTTATTAAAAGGAGGTAAACTGTTGGCCCCCTATTTCTTCAAGGAGGCAGTTTGAAGGCTTCTTTCATTTGACACTTCTGAATCTACCGTCTCCCCAGCTCATGTGTGAGAGTGGTGTTCCCTTCTTCTGGTCTTCACAGTGGTTTTTCCCACCAGCTGTTTCAGATTTAGCACATTTTTGGGAGCATGGGTGGCTACCACCAGAGTCAGTAACACAGTGGCTTTCTCCATCACAGCACCTCCTGTATGTCAGGGGAATCCTTCACCTGGTGCATACTGGAGGCAAAAATCTCATTCTTTTGATGGTTCATCTACATACTCTATGAGTGACTAATACGCAGCTGGGTTTTTTTGAAACCAATAGTTTTTTCTCTGTGTAAAAAGCCTTTCTGCAAATACTAGTAGTGAACTGTAGTATCATAGTTCAAGTACCATTTTGGCAGCAGTGTTAGAACTAAGTCATCATCAGATTTGGTGACTGTTAATTAGGAATTAAGTGTTACGTTCTTAAGCTGGCAGTTAACTATGTTTTCTCAGTGGGATGTAAGTATACTTCTGTAAGACCACAGTAATCTGATGACTGAAGATAGTGGGGTTTATGACTTGTGGGTCTATTCCTTGAGGGAGAACTTGGTATTTTTTTATGTAGGAGTATGATGGGTAGAGCATATGTCTTGCTGAGTAGCCTGATATGATGAATCTTTCAGCTATCATAGACAGACAGTTATAGGCAATGCTGTTCCATTGCCTCCCTAACCAATTCCTGTGAACAATTACCTAACGATTAGAAGGCAGGGGGGGATAAGGGGGCTGAATAGGCCATTTATTTTCTGCTCGATAGAATGGGTTATGCATCAGTGACCTTTGGCTTTTATTTAATTTATGTTGCTTATGATTTCTGTGATAATACTGAACATGTATAATCTTTTCTATCTATTTGGCAGTAGTATTCTTTATTCTCTGCATATAATATGTTTATTTATAGATAGAGTTTCAAATTGTATTTTAATACATCCACATAATAAACATAACACCTTGTGTGCTTTGATCAGTTTCTTTGACTATGGGAAATAATTTTTCTTTTCAGTGGATTACAGTAAATGCTGATATAAAAGCTGCAGCAAACATTCAAATGAGTGAATATTTAGAAAAAGATGAAAAGCATGTTCATATTATCTTTGTGTGTTACTTAAAGAATGTTGTAAATGTATGCAGTACCACTGTGCTGGGGGACTGTAGTCTGAAATAACATGGGAACTAACATATTAATATCAAGGTAAAGGTACATATTCCCCAGATGCATAGTTTTACCTTTTTCAGCTTTTATTATCTTTAGAATAGTGTTCCATTTATTTCATGAATACAGAAGTATTAATTGGCCATGACATGTTCCAAAGACAAAAGAAAGGTCTAATTCACTCTAACAAACTTGTTAGTCACTGTTTATATCAAGAGGATTGTGAATCTACAGAGAGTAACACTGTTTTCTTCTACACTTGCTTTGTTTATAAATCAAAAGTTTTTAAGTGACCTGCAGTGTCTGCTTGTAGTTTGAAATGATACTTCTAAAGCAGACCTCCACCATGTAGCACAGATATTTATCCCTTAAGATAATCCTTTAAGTTAATTTGGGGGGAAGAAGGGCAAGAGAAGAAATGTGAGTATGGTGGTGTTTTTACAGTGTTGGGATTTTTTATTGTTTAACGTAATATTTCATATTCTAAGAAAAAGTCCTTCTGAGGTATGTAATTGCTCATTTCTGTGAGCAGTGGGCAATTTGTGAATACTAAGATCTTGGTTCAAATCTAAACAGAATGTATTTTACTTCTGATTTACCCTACGTGTTAGTACTTCTAAACTTTTTCTTAGCATTCTTCTCTATGAATAGATCTAATTTTTAACTTGTCTTTTTTTGTGGGATTTTTAGCAGCTGAAGTGCATAGCTGTCTGTGAGAGTGATGCTTAGAGTCATGTTCACTCTCATTAATTGTATCAATTTCTAATTGTTATGAATCCACAGTATTACAATGGAATGATTTGTGTGATTTATCTGGTGAAGTACATGATCTTTCACTTAACAAAAAAAGGGGTTTAAAGTTTTCATCCATCCTAATTCTGTTACTGTTTGCTTTGTTCACCAATCACTCTGATCCTCCTAGCAGGGGACAAGACCTAGAGAACAAAACTGGTAGTGACTGTGTAGATAAAAAGGCAATGAATTCTGCTTTTAAGGCATAGAGGGAATAGTCTATAAAAGAATAAAAATCAGAATGAAAGTACAGCGTCTTTAACCTGCAGATCTATTGTACCTTTGAAAAGCTTGTACTCTGAAAAAAACATACTGTGGTGCTACAAAGATTCATAATTATGTGACAGAACTCTTTGAAAAGAGGTCACTCTTTAGAAACTGACCAAAAGGCTTGTCAAGAAAATAGACCACATTATAAATGCGGAAGTAAAGAATGCATTTCGTTAAAATGTCTAGGTATTGTTTTAGTGAAATACCAGGTGTCACAATGTATTTTATTTATTCTCTGATAGAGATATGTTATTTTTTTTTCTGATAGAACCACTTTTTAAACTTAGTGAAGATGATGGGGTCAAGAACAGTACTCCAGAGAGGAATATGAAAGAAGTTTCACGTCAGATGTTACAGAAGGTAAGATACCAACCCCAGCAAACAGATATAAATTTTAATATAAGAATCATATATATATAAGTCAGTACTAATGAATTTAGGCCATGATTTTCCTTTCCTAATTCAAAAATATGGATTTCCAAAATTGTGTCAGAAATGAATTCAAGTGAAGTAGCTGTGAATGTATCATATGAGATAAACATTGTTAATGTCAGAGAAAATTAAAAGAATGTTTAGAGGTATAATGTTAAAAACTAACAAATTATCTAAATTGGAAGTAAGACATGCTTAGCATTTTACCACTTCTAAGTTCAGAAACCTTCATTTTTTTTCTGAGTATTTAACTTTACATGATATCAGGTGTTAATCTCCACAGAGCTTTTGCTACAGAACAAAATTGATGCATAATAGTGATAAATCCACTTTTTGTTGTATTTAAATTCTAGCACAACATTGTATATGCAAATATTTTTTACAGATGTGGGTTTATCACTCTTTTCACAAGATAGTACCGTATGCATTTAGTGTTCTTTGGCTTAGCAAATATGATGAGTATTTAATCTTTACTGCTCAACATTCTACATGTTTTACCTCATACAGTAACAAGATGTTCTTAACTAGTTGGTATTTGTATTGATATTTGTAATATACACAAGTAGTTTAGTATGTTAACAGGTGTTCACTTAAGAGGGCTCACTTGTATTTTACCATATGTTTTGTTTGCCGCAAAGAAAAGACATCCTTCAAACAGTATCATGCCTTTTCTTTGTCATTTTGCAAAACAATATTTGTTTAATTACTTATAAATCTTTAAAAGCATGCTTAAACTGAATAAACACAAATCTATAACTTTGAATGTCAGTTTGGATATGTCTATTTATTTTTTATTTGTGAATTAACTTGTAGAAAGTGTGGTAATTTACAGCAGATGATGTGATTGCATATACTTGTAACACTTGCCATATGGTCAGGCAATGAAGGCTGTCATCTCGTTATTACTGAATGACAAACATCATGTTAAAATAATAACACACAGAATAGGAAGTGCTCACATTCATTTATCTTAAGGTAGAGTGAGTAATTGAAATAATATGAATGCTACCATCTGAAATATCACACAGTTTATGCTTGCTTATCATCTATATTTCAGAACTATAATTTTGTTTGCCAGGTACTACATAATTTTTATCTCTATGGATATACAGAGTTATGATAGTACCTTAGGGATAGGTGTAGAAGCTATTCATTGTTTGTTTCCTTCCAGCTGTCATACATGACTTTAATGCTAGTGAGTGCAAAAGGTTGCTTTAAAGAACTGAGAAAATAATAGCAGAATCTCAGTTTAGGAAGGTGGTTGAAGAAAAGTACTGGTCTAACTCCTTATCTTTGGGGAGGAAAGTAGAAACTATGATTTTAATCATAAAACTTGATTTCACTGAAGCATTTGGAAAAATCCCTTTTGTTTCTAATTTCACCCAATAATTTTATGTAGCCATAAGGCAATCTTTCTTCATTGTGGGAGTGCTATGAATTTCCATAAAGGAAGGTAGCAATGGATAGGCATGTATATTAAAGGTTTGCTATCAAATTCAAAAATTCAGTATCAAATTCACAAATCTACGTGAAGTTTGAGCAGCTCTTGCCCTAATTTACTCTGTACGTTAAGACCTTTCATTTATCTGAATAAAATCTGTAGTACCCACTTCATAAATCATACTATAAGTTTTAAAATAATTTAAATGCATTGGCAAAATGTCCTTGCAGAAACATGTAGCATTTATTGAGAAATACTATGGTTTCAGTATTTTCAATGTCAAAGCAAGTTTTGACATTTCGTATTGCTCCAAAGTGATGGAATTGGCCAGTATTTTACAAGGTGAGTAGCTGAAGTTGGCCACATGCATTCTACTAAGGCTCCTTGAAAAATAGTCTCTTCTACCCATGTCCAGAAAAATCTAGGGCACCTGGCACTGTCCCTAGTGGAAGAGTGGCGATGGAGCTTGTACAAAACCAACCAAAAATATTTCTCCAAAATGACTAAGTGGTTACTGAGCACAAAATTCACTCTCATGGCCTTTACAAGCTTCTGGGGAAATCTCACAGAATAGATGTTCATTTTAGTATCTGCTAAAATTAAAATTGCCCCTTGTTTCTGGAAATTGTGGGGTTTGGTTGTAACTTTAGGCAAATATTCCATAAGAACATTGAGAATTAATTTATTGTTAATGGCCTTGAATATGTTTAAACCTCAAAAGACTTTACAAACAAAGCACATGCATCCTATATAAGTAGAATATGTTTCTTCAAACTATAGACGAGAAGCTTGTAAAGTGGCTTCATTGGCGTAGGATAGATTTTCCCTTTCTGTGAATAGAAAATAAATTTCAGCCTTCGTATTCTGTAGGTGCTGAACTTCTGATAGCTCTTGCCATGATTTGTTTGGGGTTTTTTGGAAGATCAAGTTAATATTTAATTTGTGTATTTACAACACTTGGAAGAACTTGTTGATTTAGATAGCTAGTGCAAAATTGTCTGTATTTCAAAATAGTTTTCCTTCAGAATATGTTTTTTTAAATTCAATTAGTATGTATAACCAAATCAGTAATGAGCTCAAGATGCCTCAGGAAGGTTCATTAGCATACTTAAACTTCTGTGTCACTTTGCCTGGAATTTTAACTTCTTTTACCATCTGCCCTTTGTTCAACAGCTGTATTATTGCAGCTAAAATGTTTTCATCAGCACTACGTTAGAATTATTTTTAAATTAAGGAGTATAGATTGCTTTTGTCCTTGTGCTTAATGTAGTATTATTGTCATATAATAAATACATTTGAAAACATAGGTTTTTTTCCTACTAGATAGGCTGAAATATTATGAATGCTAAAATTGCTTTTGTTAGGTACAACAACTAGAAAGAAGATTCAAAGCTATTGAAGGGGAATTAAAGAAACAGAAAGAAGTAAATAAAGACTTACTGAAGGAGAAAAATTATTTGAAAGCATCTTTAAAAGTGCAAAAGGAGGATACAGACACAAGAGAAAGAGAGCTGGAAACGCTACTTACGAGGATTTGTGAAATAAAAAAAGACAAAGCAGAACTTCAGTTAGTGATTGATGAGCAGGAAAAAGAAGCTGCCTCTTTGAAGAGGCAAGTGGCAGAAGCTAACAGGTTGAAAAATGAAAATGAAGATTTGCTGAGTCAATTGCAGGAGCTGAAGTGTTTGCTGGATGAAGCCAAAGCAGTGGCAACCTCTGGGCAATGTAATTGCAAGATAACAGGCACCAAGGTTAAATTAAAAACAGCTAAGAAAAAGAGCTCCTTGGGACATCATGGAGCTTTTCTCAAACAGTCCATCAAGGTTATGAGTAATGTATTTGAGAACTTCAGTAAGGACGGCTGGGAGGATGTGAGTGAAAGCAGGTACGGCTCTCATTAACTTAGCCCTGTAGAGGGGACACTGTGCATATGTAAAGCACTAGCAAATGGAGATTGAATTTCAACTACTGTTGATTTGGTATTCAAAAAAAATACTGTCAGATCCTTTGAAATATCTTGGGAGGTCTTGTTCTGAGCTTATTGACTGAAATTTGCATGCAAAATTAGCCACAACTGTATGAGTATTTGAATAGGTGCCAGGAAACCCAAAAGAAGGCAATGCTTGATTTCTTCCAGTGATGCTATTTTCATGCAGTCATGAGGCTTGAAATTGACAGTTTGGCAGGTTGATTTAATTTGCTGGCCCTTTGCATATTCACCACTGACAGCTAAGGATTCCCAGGCAAGCCTACTAAGTCAGTTTAGTTATCTTGTGACATGCCGACCCGGGAGGAGAAACATTTTTTCTCCTTAATTTAGTTAGATAAATTTTGAATGACCCATTTCAGCTTGCTAGCAGATGTCTACAAGCTGTTTAACATCCTTTAAATTAAGAACCATCCACACTAATTATTTCATGTATGTTTTATGCACAGTCATTGTACTAACTTTAATTGAATGATGGTTAAAAATCAGTTCTTTAAAGGTAATTGTTACTGCATAGAGTCCCAGTCGTGAGTCACAAGGCCCTCAGAAAATTGCACTGGCAAGATTCTTAAATGTTTAGAATTTTTGCTTCTGCTTCTATTTGTCCATGTGCACTTGAGGAGGCAGCAGTAAGCCACTAGGTAAATGGGTATCACACCTTGTCTTTCCATACTTTGTCCTAAGAGACATGCAAATAAATTTCTTAAGCCTGTGTTTACACAAAATGTAGAGAAGGTGACAAAAGAGTAAAGAAAATGGAATAGGCTTCTTAGGCTTCATGTTGGCTTTATATGTCATATGGAGCAAATCAACAGTGGCAAATGAAGCCCTTCTGCTGCTTTTATCTGTGCAAAATAGGGGGTTCCTGAACACAGTATCTTGAGAGAGAAAACATGTTAAGAACAAAGTAATTTGTCAGTTGCTATCATTAATGTAAAGCTTGTTTGTTTTTCTGTTGCAATTAGTGAGCTTTTTATTTAATTTACTATGTTTTGCTTTTTAAGAACAAAATTGAGCAAACAAATTGTCATTGCAATTTGAGTTTGAAGTGAAGTGGAAAGTAATTGTATGGCTTCAGTTGTCGTGGCTAGCTATAAATACTGCTATTGATAATTGTACAAGTATCAGGTTAGGGAATTCTTGTCGTAGAATAGTGAACATTTTTGACGGTCATGTTTCAAGGTGTCGTTCTCAACAAGTTAGGGAAATATCTTCATTTAGTTCCCTCTCTACTTTTTAATAAATACTGTTGTTTATCACTAGTAGTTGTCTCTGAGTTTCTAGATTCAAATTTTTCATGTTCTAAATAGAACATTCCTTGAAAGCATTCAGGTGAGGGAAATGTGTAGGTAGTTAGAAATATCTGTGCTACTGCAGCACCTTCAAACTATTACACTGATTTCTGTTCTTGCCAGTCAATAAGACATACCAGTGTGTCAGGATAGGTTTTGGAAAGTATAATGTGTTTCCGTATGAACTCTTTGCTTCAATTTGAGGCCTTTTCTCTGGTTAAGTAGCCTCCATCTCTAAACCATTGATTTTTATGATGGTCCAACTTAATTTGAACTCAGTTGTGCATTTTTAAATGTCTTGATTTAAAAAGTAACAAATCAAAATTACCTTCTGTCAGGCGATTCCTTCACAAATCCGTTTGCACAAATAGTGATGAATAGCCACTGATGGTATAGAAAATGATTATATCCAAGACTTCATGTTTTAAGATAGACTTCACTGAATATCAGAAAACAAATGATGATCTGGGGCAAGGCAGTGAAAAACTGGAAATTTTTCCAGTTGCAGAAGAGCACACTGAGTGCAAGTTTAAGGAAAAATTTGAAGTAGAATGAAAGTTTCAGGTCCAGTTTCTCTGCATGGCAGGCAATTTCAGTAGGACTACCAAGCTTACAGAATTTAAAAGCATTCCAAAGGGGTACTAGACAGAGATTTCACTGAAGTGTGATTTCTGAGTTTGTTTCAGTCAACACTACAGATAAAGTTCAGTTGAAACAAAGTGTTATTAAGTATTGAGCATTTGTTTGTTTTGTTATCAAATGTGAAAATGAAGGAAAGTAGAAACATAGTATATCTTTGTCAGCCATTCACAGACTAGAAGTACTATCAAGTAGTTTTTCATGTATGTCGCTTTTGTAGGCTGTAACAAAAGCTGTCCTTAGTATCAGAGTAAAGTCTCAGACTTCGATGTGTTGCAGAGTGAGATTCCATTTGACAAAGTAGAACTTGATAAGACAATTTCAGAGATTTCTCCTTTATCGTATTTGTAAACATCTGTTGAATAAGTCAACTCAGTACTGTTTGGGTTTTGTATTAGTTTCTCTTCTTTCTTGACTGTGTTATTTTCTGTGTGCTCAAGCATTGGCTGTTTGGAAATTTTAATGTTTAGCCTTATTTTGTTTTGTTTTCCTGAATGTGCTGTTGTAGTGACTCTGAAATACCAACTTCTGAAAGTTTGGAAACAGTGATTATGAAGACAGTGCAAAACATTGATCCACTGCCAGAGAGAAGTAAACAACAGGGAAAAAAGCAAATACAAGATAGTCAAAAGCCCTGCAACATTATTCATTTAGAAGGCAAAACCCAGCAGTATAATAAAAAGGTATATAATAGAACTTGTTTTGTTCTCCTGTGCAGAGTGTTGAAGTTTAATAGTTACTATTATCACTGCTGTTCCCCTCTTAATTAATTTGACTCTTGTTGTAAACTGAAAAGAAAATCTGCTTCCAGATATTCAATGGGTAGTTTCATTATAATTTAGAATATTTTCTGAACAATTAGTCTGCAAAAGTATTTGGAGGGGGGGTGTCAGGAATGCAAAAGCTGATTAAAAAATGTAAAGCTGCTGTAAGCTAGTCCTGCTGTCTCACAGTCCAGACAAAGAATGCCGCAGACATCCCATTAAACTCTCTCAATCAGAAAAGCCATACAGAACGGGGTGACCTAACCCATAACAAGGAAACGGCAACAACCCCTCTTCCCCTCTAGAAAAATGGTGTGCTGACTAATCAAGCATGAACACCTCTCAGTTCATTTGGTGTGCACAGAAAAAGTTGTCTCCATCTTAGAAAGATGCTTTTGGCTCTATCTCTGTCCAGGAGATTCTATCTAGAGAAAAGTGTGCTGTGCTTTTAGCTTCTTCTTAGCCCATTTACATTCATTGTCTAGGATTTGAACGCCTTGTCTCATTCTTAACATCTATATGCTGTTTTCTCACAGAAGAGGATCAGCTGGTCATTTCCCAGGTCTTTAGAGGCTCCATACAATCTGTAACAGATGACTCATTCTTGGACTTTGAACAGAGTCTTTTTACCTCCTGTGTTTGCCCAAATAAATCACTTCACTTCATGGAATTTAAAACACAAGCAGATATTGTTGTTTCTTAGTTCAAGAAACAGAACACTGAAACACTGAACAACTTGCTGCTGTTAGAAAACTAGTTTGAAATTCTGTTATGTGTGGTGAAATAATAAAGAGTTTGAAAACAGATTGTATTTTCTTAGTCTCCAAAATTGTAAAGCAAATACAAACTCTCTGGTCTTGTTATATATTCTTGATTGCATGTTTCCATAAAAAGATCTATTTTTCTGGCAGAAAAGTTGAAAAAAAGGAAATTCTTCTGCAACCATCTGTTGGTATAGAACACACAGTATGAGCAGGTGCACATATATGTGAAAATCTGACAGAGTGTGCCACTCTTGTTATCCTCCTAAGTGAGGATATACGAGGCAGGGAATCCAGGAGGCTCTGGTCTCTCTTGCTTGGTAGTGTAGACACAGCCAGTACCTTTCCTGTTTGCCTATATTGCATTCACTCTCTGTTCCTACTGGAAAAGACAAACACAGATATATACACGTATGTAACAAGACTGGTGGACTTGGAGCATACACAGGAAGCTCTCCAAGAGCCCTAAACAGGTAAATATGTTTCAGCAGAAGACCCCTGTTGCAGGAAAAGCACCTGAAAACATGATTTGTGAGTACAGAAGATAGCATTGCAAAAAGGTTTAGTATTGACAGTTGGGAACACCATTTTTTACAGAAATCTTAAATCCCTCCTGAGGATTTAAGGACACTCTGGCTGTGTCATGGTATTCTGGTACAAAGAGAGGCTAGAGAAATCTCCTAAGTCCTGAGCTATACCTGGGGTTGGAGATGAGATCATTTATGACACAAGGACTTTCTCAGTTTTGCCCCACATGGTGTGTATATATATATAACACCCTGTGCAGTATCAGGAGAGTTACTGGCATTCTCTTACAACTCATACATTTATCAGAGTTGTGGCCTAGAGTGGAGAGCTCCATCTTTTTGCTGCAGGCATGGATTATTTGCTCATCATCTGCTGAGAGCTCAGTTCTCTGTAACATACAATCACCATTTCAGACTAGCATCGGTCATCCAATTACATGTCTTCAGTGTTTGTAGGATCCTCTGGTCATGCTGATAGGGACTTAATACTGGTTTCCATTGTTGTCTTTGAGACATGGAATAAGATAATTAAGACACTACTTGAAGGAGACAGACCTACAAGAGCTTGACCTCCTTTGTTTTCCTTTGCTTTGGTTTTAGTCTGAAAAGTTGGCACTTACATTTCTTTCCTTTTTTTCCTAGCATATCCTATTTCCCTGTCCTTCAAATTGTGTGGTGATTGGGCAAAACTAGAATTTATGGCTAAGCTATCCTACAATGTCAGTAATTTGTTCAGTGCAGTTAATAGATAATCCGTTGCTGTTTACTCTTTTAAATTTGATGAACAGCTATTTAAGTTATGATTATTTCCAGAAATATGTTGCATGATATCACATAGAAATTGCAAACTGAAGACATTAAAAATCAGATAAATGTTGCAGAATTCCAGAACAGAAGTGTTTCAAAATACACTGGGCATTTAAGAGCCAGGAAATAGTACTTTGATTTTGGAGTAGACCATGCTTTCATATTTTCATTTTACATATTACAAGTAGCATTTTTCTTCAGCCTCTGCTTCTGTCATTGAACATTTGATAGGCTCTGGAAATAGCTGATTTTTCAAATCAGATTTTTAAAAGGCATGCAGCTGATTTTTCACATCAGATATTTAAAAGGCATGCAGCTGACTTCTGTTAAAGCCTGTACAAACACAGGGATTGTATTTGCATGTTCATATATATTCATGCATCTTCTAGTTACAGCTCAATGTCTAATCTGATCTTCCTCCTTTTGAACTAGTAAGACTGCTATTCCTTTTTACTTTCACTTAAATATTTTGAAAAATAGGATATTGTAGGCTTTCAAGTAATACACACCATCTTTTTTCCCTATGAATAAATTCGTATCTTCTCAAAAAAAAATAATGTGGGCATTAACAGACACTTCATTTTTCTCTGGAATTCTTTGGAAAGGGTTATGATTTACCTATAACAGTTTGTTATTTCTTCTACATTTGATGGGAAAGACAGAAATTTGTACTCTTCACTGGCTGATGTTGTAAGACTGATTTTCAAATTAAAATTCATTAGAATTTTGTGTATTATTTGAAGTAATTTTTGTTGTTTCAATTCAAACTGGAAAACTTTGGAGTATTGTGGTTGGTGTGCCATAATGAAGAGTTGCTAGCTTTGTGCTTCTGTTTTTTATGTAGGGCCATTCACAGAATAAAGAAAAGTTACATTCCAAGAGGAGGAAGATCTGCTGTCTCATAACATCTTATCCATCAATTCTAAGCAAAGGTAGGAATATTATATATTTTTGGCAACTTTATAAGTAAG